AAAAGAATAGATTAGTTAATAATTAATACACAAATTCTCCTTTACCCTGCCTCATAATTACCTTTGAAACGACCATATTAAACGATATCTGAAGATATCGGCACAGGATTTAGATCAACTGATAAAATTAGTCTAATCGCCCTCTCCCACCCATAGTCATGGTGCATAAATTTCCCCAAATCCATGAAACTTCAACCCACCTGTGACATTTGTGGTGCCCCCTCCGTGGATGCAACCGCATCAAACTAATACTCTTCCCCAATGGATTACCATTTAAAAATTGAATTGGAATCGGAAAACTGTGATGAAGATTACGAACGAATCATCCTACTAATCGAAGAAGAACTTGAACTTCACGAAGTAAACGAAGAACCCGAAATAAACGAAATGACAAATAATATGGACAACTTGATTCAAGCCCTTGCCAATCTTACCAAAGCCATGAATGCTAGATTAGCCCAACAACCAGAAAAGATCTTGATACCGATCAGGAAATTCCAAGGCGAAAACCAAGACCCGGTCAAGTGGATCAGGGATTTCGAAATTGCTGCTCGCGCTAATGGAATCACTGACGAAAGAAAAATCCAAATTGTACGAGGTTACCTTGAAGAAACCGCTGCCGCTTGGTTTGACCAGAGGCACGCCGACGTCAACCTTCGACTGAATGTATGGACAAATCAACAGCACGATGAACACGACTTCAAACATCGATTTACCCTAAAGTTTCGGACAAATCGAAAAGTAGAACAATGGCAGGACGAACTCGAAACATTAAAGCAAGAAGGAACTATAGAAGAATATACTAACCGTTTTATCCAGTTACTCAAGAAAGTTGATCCTGACGGACATTATCCAGTGGACTACCGTACGCGAACTTACAAAAGGGGACTTAAACCTGAAATCAGAAAATGGGTTAATATTAACTCGGATGGTACATGGGATAATATTATTGAGGTGGCCAAGACTATCGAAGAAGCCAGTACTGAAAAAATAACGCAAACTTACCACCAACTCCAAGCTGCACCGTCCGTTGATGTCAATGTATTGAATCAAACTCTTCGATGCTTAATTGATAGGTTGGAACAAGTTGAAACTACCAAGAAAACGACTTATCAACCCAGAACATATGACAGGAACAGGAATCAACAAAGTCCCAGAAATCCACCGACCTGTTATCGATGTGGCCAGACTGGACACATACAACGATTTTGCCAGAACACTCATAACACAAACGATATCCCCGCAAATAACTGACAGAGTCAACAGTCGACCTACAATGCAAATTTAGCGACTATTAGTAATAACCCTTTTGGACAAAATAATGTTGCCACAACACAAGTGCCCGAAGCAAATAATGCCCGACTAATTAATACTGACACCCTTCTTTCGCAGATTCAGACGCTTGCTAACGTTATCCAGGCATCCACCAACACTGAAAATAACACTCACGGTACATCGAACTCAACACTCTTGGTGACACATGAATACTTGGTCGGAAAATGTAAACGAACTAAGATAGAACCCCGGAAGACGATGTAAACGAAGGGATCGAGCAAGCTGAGAACAAGCCAGAAGACAAAAAGAAAAAGAGAAAGGCCAAAGCTGAATTACCAGTACTTGCCTCCCGGGCTGTTCCTTACGATATCTTAGATGCCGCAAAGGCCAACATCACCATCGCGCAATTAATTAAAACTTCGCCGGAACAACGCATCAAGATGTCCAAAGGAATGAGACGACCCATCAAAAAGAAGACGACACGGAAGACGACCGGGATGACCAGCCAGGCAAGAATCAAAACTACCTCAGCTTGGTGCGAAGCCAAAGTCGGGAATACACCTATCGACCTTATCATCGATACCGGAGCCTCAGGATATGTGGTTAGCCACGAATTTCTCAAAAAGCAAAACATTAAAATACAAAGGAAATCAAACATAACGATGACAGATATAAATGGCAATACCAAGCAGCCGTTAGGAGCAATCGACGAGTTTCCAATCACGATCGACGGAATCGTAATTCCGGCAGAGGTCGACGTCACGGAAGCCAAAACCTACAGCGTAGCAATCGGTGTGGACTTACTAAACAAAGTAAACGCCAACATCGACGTCAAAAAGGGGTACGGGCGCGGTTACGAATGTGATGCTGGATAATGCTGAACAATAGGGGGTCGGAAAGTATGTGGTGTTGCGGTCAGGACGATTCCTTCATGATTTCCGGAATTGCTGATTTTAATGAAATAATTGTAACAGTACATGTACACAGTAAATACATGAATAAAGTCAACCTCCCTATATATGTAACGACACATTTTATAACGGAATTCTCTATAGCGACCAAATTTTCTAGATTGATTCATATATTATTATAGGAAAATTGATGACATTCTCCTTATAAGGACAAAATTAGCCTGGATATTTGATGTCGTCATAAAAGGGTTTGACTTGTAGTTGACTTGATCTAATTTCTGTCATTCTTATACATACAATAAATAAATAAATAAATCATATTAGCAAAACACACATTGATAAAATAAAACACGAATGTCAGGTGTTGAAGATTAAAATCAAGGGATACATTCTAAGGGGCAAGTAAAACAATAACATTCTTTATGCGAAACAAATATACAACAAAGAAAAAATCATCGAGAATTACTATAAATGATTAGGGAATGTATAGGTAAAACCGAAATTCGACTAAAATTTTCAGCACAGGAATATTAGTGTGTTTGTCAATTTTACTTTAAGAAATTTTTCTCATGTACATATTGATATGGTGAATGCAAATTTTTCGAATAATAATGGAACGTTAAAAATGTTTAGTTTAATATATTGAATGATATAACGATAAATAATTTATAACTAATTTACTGACAATTAAAATTTAATATTTGCTATGGTTGTTAATTGTTAAAGAAAAATTGTCTCACTCAAATAATAGCAAAACAACTAAAAAATTTGTAACAAACCATGTGGCAAATTCCAGTCGCAAATATTTTCATAAAAGCACCTGGAAACTTCATTAGCGTCCCTGACTTTCAGTAGCACTTTGAAACATTTCATTTCTCTGAAATTGTTTGTATCTTTCAGATTTCGTAAAATATGTTTTTTTGTTTGTTCTTCAATGGGATTTTCAATTAGTATAGTGAGGTACGAAGGGAAAGCGAAACACACAAAAGGCGTGTGCTGGAAAGAGTTATCGATCTCTTTGAACTAGCAGAAATTTTTGCAACACGTATTGTGTGCCCTTGCTGAAACAAAATTACAAAGATCTTGGATTCGAGAACAATTCTAGGGTTATATTGAATTCAAGCACATGTATACATTGCAAATGACGTTTTATCTTATCATTTCTTCATCGATGGTAGTCGTGAAAGGATTGTTGAATTAAAATACCTAGAAATGAATATCGTATTTTACCGGGTATGAATTAAGGGAAAAATCGTTATTATTAACGTAAACTTTGAATATTGATTGATTGTTGTTATTACATGCAATACAATATTTGAATTTTTATAGCATTTTGTTTACAAATTAAACGGGTCTAACATACCCATGCCATGTTTCCAAAAGCTCAACTTCCCAACAATTTCATGTCGTATTATTTTTGTTTATGATACCGATACATTAATATTAATGTTAGTGTCGATCAAAATTAGACTAATTATGTCGGGAGGATGGATGTCGTGACGGTGGATGTGGGAATCCCAACATTATGTATTTGACGAAGCTCATGCGTAATCGAATTTCGTTTATAATTGGGTTTTCAGTTATTTCATAAAATAGAAGAATCTAATCCCATTTTTGGAAACTTCAATGGAAACATCTCTGCAATAAATTTGAATTTCATATATAAACTAATGATATGTCGAGGATTAAATCAAATTTTGTGTTAATGATACGCGATTATCTACGTTAATGATATTAATAAACATGTGACATTGCGATATCGATTGATGTTGAGAAAAAGCCAATATGTTGACTAAACAAAAAAAACAAGTTTAATATGATGAGTACTCAGCATTGAAATGCCCGTTTAATTATTTTGTTTTGATCAATCTTCCGAAACAATCGTTAAATTATCGTTTCACGTGAAAGTGAAAAGCTCACCGCGATTGTTTGCTCCTGATGAAGTTAGGCAATCATTTAATGCGAGGTTTCTTAAATATGAATTGATTAATTAAGGTAAACTTTCGATTATAGACTTTGGGAAAGAGTCTGTAATGTATTTATTAATAAAAGCGTCATGTTCTTCGAATCAATTTTGTCGCAGTAAACACTTTTATTTTGTAATCTTAAAATAGAATATACTAAACACAATTTATTTACCTTAATAAGCTTTCAAAAACATGTGATGATATTTGACTTCATCGATAGTTAAAAGTAGTTACAATGTATTTTTTTTTCATCCCATTAATCAACTCGTATAAATCCAAGGGAGCATTCTTATTTGTGTTTACTTGCGCCCTGGATAGGATATCAATCGTCATGTTCATGTACATGTAATACGAACGTTGTGCGAGCAAAAATTCGTTTTATGGTGTCATTCTCTCCTAATACATGTATTGTATCCCCTTATGACCACCCCATCATTACCTAACAATTTCCTTACCCCGGTTATTTTACATGGTAAAAATTTTTCCAGACACCCAATTTGTTTGTTTATTTATTTATTATTATTATCGTTATATCGATATGATAACTTTTGGAAAACGTATCCAGAAAGGTTACAACAATGTGATGCATAATGTGAAATAAAAGAAGACGAAACTTTATAGTGCGATTAGAACACATTTGGTTAATATTCCGAGTCTCTTTATATGCATCCGAGTTGCTTTGCTTATCTTTCAGGTTCTCAAAAAATCACATTAATCTTATTTGATATTAAATAATGAAAAAGAATACAAACATGTTATCATTCGTTAAAACAAGAGACAAAGACTTGCAAAATGGGGTCGTCATACTTTAGATTATGATTCCTATTTGTTCCTATTTTGACAAAGAAAAATAGTATTACCATAATTTCTTCATTTAGTATTTTTATCATTGCTTCTGTTATGTTCGATACTCCCATCGATACGAATTTATCAAACTATTTAGTCTTCTTAAGGATATACAGTATGTATTATTGTTCTTAAGCATAAATCAGATTTAATCATTTATTATTCTGAATTGTCTGATTTGTTTCTTATAACAAGACAAAGAAAAACTTCCACATAAAGAAGTATGCGTGTGATTGGTTAAAAACCCTTTATAAGCAGGGTTAATAATATTTGCGATCACCCTTGATATACATGTTCACATGTAACATGACATGTGTAGGTTATTTATTAATTACACTCGTTATAGCAAGAACAATACAAAAAGGATTTTATAGTAAATTCTTGGTATAACAATACCAAGGTTCGGCTTTAGTTAATCATTAATTTGTTCTAAATTGTTAACACAGTCACCTCCCTCTATAATTACATGGTATGTTACGTGTCTGTTGCGAGATCGTAAATAAGGATTATGACTAACGTGAGCGAAAATATATGTAATCAGGCAGAGATTGGTGTGGCTATGTAAAATGGCGGATGTGACTATAGCGAAAGTTTACTGTATTTATTTAAAAATAGACAAACAAGCTGGAATTATATTATTGAGCTCCGAAAGCATACAATTTCTTGTATCCGCACATGTTCGTTCATCCAGATTATTAATAAACCATACAA